TCCACTCCCTGGAGGATATCATGCTGGGTACAGTGGAGGGTCAGTGAAGAAGGAGAAGGCCCCCAACAAGATGGATTGACACAGTGGCTGCAATGATGGGCTCAGGTAGAGCAAGGACGGTGGGGCTGGGACAGGACTGGGCAGTGTTTTGTTCTGTTGGACAAAGAGTCTCTATGAGTAGGAGCTGACTCTTTGGCACCTAACAACAACATGCACCTGTTCCTACTGACCTACAAATTCTTAAAGACAGAGTCAGGAACAAGCTTATCATAATTCAGGGACTGACTGTAGGTCACCAGGTCTTTCTCCCAAGGCACCTCTGGGTAGACTCCAACATTTCCAGTGAGTGCATTAACCGTTTGCACTACCAAGGGGTTTCCTTTAGCCTCTCACTGGTCACACGGTGTTACTGCAACCTATCCACATGCTGCATCCTCTACTAGGCCATGACCTCCTAGAGACAGCACCTGGCCTACGCCCTTAGCACCTTCACAGGCCCTGACGTGGCACTGAGGCTCAGGGCACAGTGGCTGGAGAACAGCAATCGCCAAGATTCCTCCAAGCTATAAACACAAACCCTCTGGGGTGACAGCTATCGCTTTTGCTTGTCTGGCACCCATTCCTCCTCTTCCTTTGAGGAATCATCCCTCTCTTACTCTCAGTCCATGTGGGTTGTGGAGGGCTGACCACAAGCTCCAGGCCTGGCCAATTGGAACATCCCAAGTCAAGCTACTGCTCCAATTCTGGGGACCCCTGGGAAAGAGAAATTTTCTTTCTGCTGGAAGGATATAAGCAGGTGGCCGCTGTTGGTCACTTCACTGCCCCATGGGAAGACCCTGCCTGAGTAGAAGGTCAACAGAGGGGAAAGCAGAACCAATGGTGATGGGGTTCTGTGACATTAAGCCTCAGAGACCCATCTGTGCCCAAAGCCAGTAGTGACCCCTGCCCTTTGCAGTTCTGGGCCATCTGACGTATTTCCATCACTAGAACTCACAAGGTACCAAGCGACCTGCCTTCCAGGCCCTGTGGGAACACAGGTTCTTACAGGGGTGTAACCCCTTCCTGCTGTTGTCTCAGAGACGCAGCCCCACTGCCAGGGCTCTGCTCCTTCAGGGCCTTACCTGCACCAGGAGGTTCTGCAGCCCAATGACCAGGGACAGCACTTGTGATGTTTCCAGTGGAGCCAGCACCTTGTCCTCGGGAGCTGGCAGTGGCTGGGCTGCTGAGGGCACCAGGGTCACGAGCGCAGAGGAGAAGCCTTGTTGCAGGGCTGTCCGCAGGAAGTGTACAATGGCAGCTGAAAGCAAAAGGCTCACTACACCCACCGTCTGCCTCCTTCCCCACCTGCCACCCAGCTCTGCCACAGGAGGAGGCCTATGAGGATCATTATGGGGTGACCAGAGGCTGGTCTGGGTGGGGTGGTACCCCCTCAGAATCTAGGGGAAAAGCTTTCCTCCTGCTGCAGACAGCCCCTGGGCCCTCACCTGAGAGCAGTCCAGCCCGTTTCCTGGGGAAGCTGAGGATATTCAATATGCGGTCCAGTTCCACGGACAGTGTCTGGTGAACCTGGCAGGGCAGGAGGTAAATGCTGAAAACAGCTCGCTTCACTCCTGTACTCCCCCCACCCCCACACATACACACTGCGCCCAGGGGGAACAAGGAGGTCACACAGTCATTAAAATCCCTCGACCTGACTTCAGGAGTGGGAGGAGGGGAATCTAGTCTGTACTTGAGGAACTCTCCTTTTCCCAAATCTCCCACTTCCCAAGGGCCTCCTCCACCATGGAGCCTTCCCTGCCTCATCTGTGATCAGACCACCATCCACCTGACCCAGAAGATCTGGAGTCAGGCTGGACTCATAATCCTGATTCTGCCACTTGCCAGCTGTGGGATTTGGGCAACTCACTGCATGTCACTCAGCCCATCTCATTTTCTTCTTCTACAGAATGGGGACAATGCCACCTGCTTCTACTCTCTTGGCAGCTGAGGGCCAGCACCAGTGAACGTGCTCCCTGGTGTCAGAGTGGTGCCCAGGCATAGCAGTCAGCAGTGGCAGACCCTGAGTGTACTCCTCCACCAGGACACAAGTTGTCTGAGGGCGGGGACAGCATCACCCTGCTTGGAACGCCCCACGGGTTCTGGCACAAAGCAGTTCTTTAGAACTCCTGGTTGTCTGGTAAAAGTGGTAGGTTCTAGACAGAAGAACCAACTTGTAAAAAGGTTTGGAGATAAGAAAGAGCACAGCTGACTGGAGAAGAGCAAATACTTGGCCAGAGGACAAGGCAGGAGGGTGGGACTGGCAGGAAGGCAGGCTGCAGAGAAGCCAAGCCATCAGGGCATCTGCTGCCAGGTGGAGGGCCAAGACCAGGCAGAGAAGTGTGGATAGAGCACAGCTGCAGCAAAGGGAAAGGCAGAGGCTGAAGCCAGGGGACCTGTGAGCAGGCCACACTGGTGGTGAGAATAAGTGATGAGATCTGTGCTAGGGCAGAGACAAGGACCTGGGGTCCAGGGAGTTAGGAACAAGTAACCAGGTAGTGTGAGCAGAGGGCCAGGGCAGAGCAAGGATGAGGTCCAGGTGTCCACCCTGGCAGGTGACTGCAGAGGTGCCAGTAGGTGCAACATCCTCGTGCAGAAGAGCAGCAAAGTCCTGGCTCAGATCAGCCCCATGGGCAACAGCCTGTGAGGCCCACCACCACTGTCCACCTGCAGCAGCAGACCTCCACAGCTCACTGCCCCCTCAAGGCCAAAATTGAGATATGACTTCACTTCTAAACACAAGACTGGCACAGCGCTGGGCACAGGGTGGGACGCTGTGGAAGGATGGGAGACAGCTCTGTCCTAAGCAGCTACCAGCCTTAAGGAAGGAGACATTAGGAATGTGAAGCTGCCCCCAGAGGGACAAGTGCAGGGCATCTGATGATACTGCATCACGCTGCTTGGACCCCCCATGGGCTCCGGCACAAAGCAGTTCCTTAGAACTTCTGGATGACAGGCAAAAGTGGTAGGTTCTAGACAGAAGGAGTTAATGGAGTCTCTAGGAGTTAATGGCCTGGTAGCAGATGCAGCACGTAGATAGGATGAGGTAACATAGTGTGACCTGTGCTAAGCAGGGACGGGGCTGACAGGAAATGGAGCTGCTCTGTGCCCCCTGCTGTGCTGCAGCATCTTCTCAAGCATAACCAAGACTTCTTCAGTGGGTCATTACCCAGCTCTTCAAGATCCCCTGTCCAGTCTGACCTATCCCCTCCACTGTCTACAGCCCAGCTTCACAGAGTGGCCTACCCTCAAGCATGTGCACCACTCCCTCTGCTGACATTGCTCTAGCTGGGATGCCTCCTCACCATCTGTGCCTGGCACAGTTATACTTACCTCCCAAGGCTTTGTTTAAACACTACAGCCTCCCTACGGGCTCCACATGCTGGTTCATTTTGATCCCTCTGTGCCTAGAGAAGAGCCTGTCATATAGCAGGTGATCCATGTGTGTGGGGATGAGACAAATGAGCGAACAGTGG